AGCCTCGGGAACATAAAGACTGCAGCAGCAGCAGCAACTGCAGCAGCAGCAGCAACAGCAGCAACAGCAGCAGCAGCAGCAGCACCACGGAGGCTGCTGGTTGCTGCAGCAGCTGGCAATTGGGCAGTGCATGCGAGTTGCAGCAGCTGCCGCAGCAGCGACAACAGCAGCGACAGCAACAGCAACAGCAGCAACAGCAACAACAGCAGCAGCAGCAGCAACAACAACAGCGGATATGCGCATTGCGCAGCATTCTGCTGCTGCTGCAGTGCGAACATCCTAAGTGGGGCCCCAGCAGCGGCCTTGACGCGCGCGCAGCAGCAGCGACAGCAGCAGCAACAGCAGCAACAGCAGCAGCAACAGCGGCAGAGACAGCAACAGCAACAGCAGCAGCAGCAATAGCAGCAGCAACAGCAGCAGCAGCCCCCTGTGGCGCTTCTGTCAAGCCCAGTGACTGGAGTGACTGGTCATATCTGGCTGCCGGAAGAGCAGCTGCAGCAGCAGCAGCTGCAGCAGCAGCAACAGCAGCAACAGCAGCAGCAACAGCAGCAGCAGCAGCAAAGAATCAGACAATGGGGAATACGGAGAGCACTTCAGCTGTGCAGCAGCAGCTGGAGCTGCTGAACTCTCCCTCGCTGCTGCAGCAGCCCGAGGTGCCCGTGCACCCAAACCCTAAACCCTAAACCCTAAACCGTAAAACCCGCTGCAGGAACTCGGGACGCCCCTAACCCTAAACCCTAGGCCCCAAACCCTAAACCCTAAACCCTGCTGCAGCAGCCAGAGGTCCCTTTATCCCAACCCCAAACCCTAGAGCCTGCAGCAACGCTCCCAGGCGTCCCAAACGCTAAACCCTAGCCCTAAACCCTAAACCCTCGCTGTTGCTGCTTTTGCTGCTGCTTCTTAGCAGCAAATTGGCTGCCCCAGTGTTGCTTGCTGCAGGGGGTTTTAAACCACCGTTTGCAATCAAATCAATTACTTCAAATTAATTAGTTTAATATAATTAATTTAATTTAATTAATTTAATGTAATTAAATTAATTAATTAATTTAATTAGTTAATTTAAATATTTTATTTATTTGTTTTCAGAACTTCTGGGTTTCACTCTTCATGCGGATTTCTTCGCTGCCTGCTGCTGAGGCGCTGCTGCCCCCAACTCAAATTGAGGCTTTGCTGCAGTCAAACCCTAAAAACATTGAACTACTTTTCAGAAAAGTAGGGTTTAGGGTTTAGGGTTTAGGGTTTGGGGTTTAGGGTTTGGGGTCTGGGGCGCGGTGTTCTTGCGGATCGCGAGGAAGGCGCCGGGCAAGTGCCTCCCTTGGGTCTTCACTTTAGGGTTTAGGGTTTAGGGTTTAGGGTTTAGGGTTTAGGGTTTAGGGTTTAGGGTTTGGTTTTGTTTCACTGGTGAACATGTTTGGAGCAGAGACCCAACTGCACGCAGTCTCGCCTCGTTGTCTTTTTGAGGGTTTAGGGTTTAGGGTTTAGGGTTTGGGGTTTAGGGTCTAGATTTCTCGTGCGCTTCTGCCTGCTGCTGCCGCTGCCGCTGCTGCTGCTGCTGCTGCTGCTGCAGCTGGTGCAGCACCTGCTGCTGCTGAGCCGCCGCGGCAGCCAGCAGCACTTAACGGGCCCCGAAGAAGATTCGCTGCTGTCTTGTTTGTCTCTTTTGGAAGTCCTTTTGTCTTTTTGCATAATGCAGCCCCACCTAGGTGGCCCGCAAACCCTAAACCCTAAACCCTAAACCCTTTGCGACGAGCTTTAGAGCACGAGGCCCGAGCCTTGGCGGCGAGGAACAGGGGACTGGGGCTTGCCAACTAGGGTTTAGGGTTTAGGGTTTAGGGTTTGCGTCGCAGTTTAGGGTTTAGGGTTTAGGGTTTAGGGTTTGGGGCTTGCCTTCAGAGGCGACGCTGTTCTGGCGGCCTTTCCCGCAGCACGAGTTTGCGGAGGAGCTGCAGCAGCAGGAGTTGCTGCTGCAGCAGCAGCAGGATGAGTACGATCCTCAGCAGCAGCAGCAGCAGGAGGAAAAGCAGCAGCAGCAGCAGCAGCAGAATGGCCGGCAGCAGGAGGCGCAGCTGCAGCAGCAGGAAGAGCTGCAGCAGCAGCAGAACGGCCAGCAGCAGGAGGACAACCAGCAGCAGCAGCAGCAAGAGGAACAGCAAAGCTCTGGGACCCCTGAAGGCTCAAAACGCTGCACAACCCTGGCGAACGAGGTTAGGGTTTAGGGTTTAGGGTTTAGGAGAATGTGCCTCAACCCCTGTTCAAGAATTCTGCACTTTTTGGAGCCCGCAAAAAGGGTTTAGGGTTTTGGAGTCAAGGCCAATGACCTTAGGGTCAAGCGAGCAAACCTCAGGGTTTAGGGTTTAGGGTTTAGGGTTTGTGGTGTGTGTTGAAGCTGATGAATGCTCTCGCCCGTCTGCTTTTCTTGAACGGCTTTTGCGTCAACGCCCCTCGTTGCTTCCTGGAAAAGGACGAGGTGAGGGTTTAGGGTTTAGGGTTTAGGGTTTAG